CATTCCTAACATAATACATTGCATTTATAAAAACCAAATGCAGCCCTGGCAAAACAGTCACAGATTGAAATCAATGGGAATTATGCCCACTTACACCAGGGCCAAATTTGGCCCATTAAATTCAAAGTGCATTTAAAAAAAACCCTAATTAATCCTCAATAGCTAATAAGTACATAATAATTATTAAATTATCCTCATCCTACAAACGGGACTGAGGGGATTTGTCCAAAAGTCACACTGAACCCATATTGCCCAAGAATCTATGCATTTCTGTTTGCAGTGCTGTGCTCAGACTGGCACTCGCCTGATAACACTGGGGTTCTTAGAGGGGTTCACTCAGACTAACTCAAGAGCAAATAGTTTTATAGTGGTAAATGCACTGGTTATAGAGCAGTAACCAGGTTAGATACTGACCATAAAATGAATAATGATTCTGGTGTATAAAATGTTTTCAGACTTGCACTTGGCCTGATCAAATAAGCTAATTTAAAAACTAGATTTTTTTAAAATGACCATGAAGTATCCAGGTACGTTTCACACCTGCACTCTCTGAATGGCTTGCCAACCTTCTCCATCCTTCTCTTAAGTGCACTGAATGGAGGCCGTTTGTTACTAAATATACTGCCTGTAGCTAAGTGTGAGCACCACCACAATAGCAGTCAAGGGGAGCATTTTTATTTCATATTTCATGCATTTGACAGTGTACATTTGTACAGACCTTAAAGCATTTTATTGCTGGCCCAAGTAAAGTACAGCAAATCCACTGACAAGTTACACAAGGCCCTGGTATTTCTGAACTATCCCACGGCTGGAGCATCCAAGTGTGCCTTGGGATCCAATAAAACTTTCAGGAGAGGATTAGAGACGTTTTCTGTAACAGCACAGAAGGTATAACTGACAGCAATTTTTCAAAATTGGTAATTCCCAAAGGGGAATGTGGAATAATTCTTTGCCAGTAAATTAATACAATGAGATTTCTCCACCAAATGTATTGCACTTGATCTGTGCTAATTTGCAGGTGCCACTAGCTTACCTGTCTTCTCCCATTCAGACTTACAGGGCTATATTTTATATTTTTCTTCTTTGAGCAAGTTGGGAGCAGGTGCTTTGTCTGGCTGACACATAGGATTATATTTAGCCCTGGATTCTGCCAGCTTCTTCAGGTATAACCCAGGGCCATGAGCTTTTGGCATAGATAGAGGTGATGCAGTGCGAGCACAAGGTTCCCACAGTCCCCTTTATATTGTGAGACCTGGAGTTCATCCAGGCAGCCTCATCAGTGTGCAGTGCTAGCTGGAGAGAGGGGGAAGGATTAAGATGACTGGAGGAGACACTGGTTCAACACAGGCAGCCTCCAGTGGTGAGGTTCTGTGGATCCCCAGCTGTATTTTAAACTTGCTGTCTCACCTGGTGAAGCCCCTGGTGAGGGATGATGGTGTAAATGACACCTGCCCTCTCGTAGGACCTAATCCTGCTTCATTTCACTTTATACATGTGACTAGCCACACAGTTCAATGGGACTACTCATGTGGCTAAAGTTAAGCAGGTATTTAAATCTTTACAGGAATAGGGCCTTCAGCCTTAACTCCCCTAATGTACAGATGAGGAATGGGAACAAAATGAAGATTCCCTTGGACTTGCACTGTTTCCTGCATCCCACCAGATGAAATTAGTGATAAATTAGTGATTCTAAGGTATCACTAAGGTACTAAGGTAAGATACTAAGATGATAATTAGTGATACTAAGGTATTTGTTATGATAGTTAAAATAGGATCCTCCAATAATACAAAATGTTAAGCAGTTTCTGGTGTCTATCCACTAGTGACTAGCCAGGGGGCATCAATTTCATTTTACTTTTGACATGGCTAGTTTGAGTTCTAACTCCAGTAGTGAAAGACTTTTTGCATTAACCACATATTCCGTTTCCACCTGGAGTCTACTGCTTTTGCTTTGCATGATATTTGTTGGCTTGGGAAACTATGACTTAGTTTTCAAAGCACATTCAATGACAGCTGATCCTGGTTTTCTGTTTTAACTTTTCATGCTCAATCTCTTTGATTTTTTTTAATTGTCATGCCAGATTTTTGTGTCCTGAGAAAAAATAAAACTATTCCTTTTATGCACTTATAAACATAAAAACACTTTACTGGGATTTCTGTTTGTTCCCAGCTGAGAAATGTGAACATTTGTATCTAGATTACTAAAATGTTCTTAGAAAAACAAGGAGATGATCAGGTGTAAAAATGTAGCTGATACAGACAGATTGCAAAATAGCATGCACTGGGAAGTCCAAAGCACATTGTTTTGGGGAAATTAATGTGGTTTTGAAATAACTTTAATTTTGCTATTCCACAAAACAGGTTTTACTTTAAAAAAAATACTCTGTAAGCATTTTTAACAGAGCTGTTTCATGTGGAAATGAGTAAGAGTGATTACACCACAGACAGGCAGCAGGAATACAGCCAATCCAATGGCAGGCTGGCAGAGACATCCCTGTATTGGGAAACATGCTCAGCTCCTGTGGCAGATTCCTAGCAGAATCTGAACCCCCATGAAAAATGAAAACGCCTCTCAGGTAAATACTAACCTTTCTCTTAGCACTTGGAATGTCTACTGACTGAATTTGAAATTGGAAACACAGGTACATGCTGTTGAATGCAAACAGCAAAAGTACTTGGATAGGAGCTATTGGCTACATACATGGGGAAAAATACAGGCAACATGAACTAGTGACTAGGTGTGTTAATATAATACTCAGTAGCTTACAACAGTAAATATAAGAGAGAAGCCTGAAACAAAACTCTTCATTCAAACACTTCTGAATGATGCGTTTCAAATCCAGATCCAAATATTGCAGCCAGAGCTGGCCTTCAGTAAAAATGCACATAAGGCAAAGTCCCTGCCATGAATTGCTTAGAATCTTTAAAAGGACCTTGTAGAATCTCGTTATAGCTGGGAACTCTGAGTCAGGACTACTGTGTTTCATTCCAGGCCTTGCTACTGGTTTGTTGTGTGGTCCTGGGCAAGTTACTATATGTCTCTGGTTAGAAATCTGTATAATGGGTATAAAACTACCTAGTTACATCACAGAGGTGTGGAGAGGTATACTTTTCACGTTTATAAACTGCTTTAACATATGTATATCAAAGGTGCGGTATACATTCAGAATGACATTAGTACATTTTGTATACTATAAAGTACATATATTTTTTTTCTATCCTAACAACTGACGTCTGACTCTCTCCTTCATCCTAGCCTCTTTGTACTGCTCTGGCAGCTCCAAAGGGACCAGAAATATCCATCATATTTCTCCACATGAAGCTTTTCCCAATGTATGGGAATCCCCAGCTGGCGCACTTTAGAGCAGTTCCTAAAGAGTCTTCCACAAGCGACAGTCTTATGCTACAAGCCCACTTGTCTCCAACAAACACGGCACTTATCTTCAAAGAGGAAAGTACTTCACCCAATTGGAACAGAATTCCAAGTTGTGGAAGGAGAGGCCCAGGCAGTCTGCTGCTTTTATTCACTAATACATTACATTCCCAACTTATTTACGACTGTGACATCAGGCCACAAAAAAGGTGTTGTTTGATAACTAGTAAAACAAGCTGATAAAATTATGTATCCAGCTGTAGGGTTTCACCTGCAATTAGTTATAGATCCAGATGTTTTACATTTGAAGAAGGATAAAGATTAAATTTTGAGTCAGTAGGAAAACATCAGGACACAAGCATAAAGGGAGACTTATATCCAGTAGTTTAGTTCCCAAATTAGATTTCATTTAACATTATTATCATTAGAGTGGGTTAAATAACACAAAAAGTGATTCATGCATATTTCCCAAGTAAATGTGCTGCATTCACTGTTTTTAATGGGATTGTATTGCTAATTGTTTGAGAGTGTTTGGATGATTGAACATGTTCATGAATCCCAGGGCTTTGCAGCAGAACTAATTATTCATCAGAAAATGTTTAGCAGAAGTACTATTTATTTCTATGATCCTTTCATCCAACAGCCTGTAATCCAGCTGACCAATCATACATCATTAATCATGAGTGCTGAATAGCAAATAGTCAAAGAGAACAGTTTGTGAGCATCACATAGACTGGCATTTGTTCACATGAACTCTTTGGCTAACATTCATGAATAACAAATACATTTCCAGAAATTGGTATTGATTCCCAGCTTATTCACAGTGTTAGTTCCAAGATGAGTCACAAAACATGACAGCATTCATCAAATGTATTTGCAATGAATTATTAGACCAGCTCTAGTTAGAATCCAGTGGAAAATGTTCTCTGGATTCTAAGGACTTTCAAAAGTGCTCAGAATTGACCTAACTTTGCTCCTGTTGAAGTCAGTGTCCATTGAGTAAACTGCCACTGATTTCAATGGGATCAGAGTTAGGCTAACATGGAGTGCTTTGGCAAATGCAGCCCCTAAAATCTATTTATTTTAATCCACTAGTTTTTCACTAAGAAACTTATTAGTCTCTGTTTATGTAGAACCTTTGCAAAGGGAGTGTTTTGAGCTTGTGTTCACTTCTCTAGAACTGCAGCAGCAAACACACAAACACTGTTCCTAGATGTGTGCTCACATTCTTGCCATTTCAAAAAAACAAGAAAGTAAAGAAAAAGGCTGATTCCATTTAGAATACAGTGAAGGAAAAACATAGTGTTTGCCAAATGGAAACAGAGACAAATAGGGAGATTTTTCAAAGGCACAAATAACATTGAGATACTTGATTACCAAAGAGAAACTGCTGAGCTCCAGTTCATTTGCAAATTTGACACCATCAGATCAGGATTAAACAAAGACTGTGAATGGCTATCCAGCTACAGAAGCAGTTTCTCCTCCCTTGGTGTTCACACCTCAACTGCTAGCAGAGCACCTCACCCTCCCTGATTGAACTAACCTTGTTATCTCCATACTGATTTATACTGCCTCTGGAAATTTCCATTACTTGCATCTGAAGAACTGAGGTTCTTACCCACGAAAACTTATGCTCCCAATACTTCTGTTAGTCTTAAAGGTGCCACAGGACCCTCTGTTAGATTCAGACTAACACGGCTATCCCTCTGATACTTGATTACCACTGAGTCAATGAGCATTAGACACTTAACTGCTGTTTATGAATCTAGAAATCTCCCCCAAAGCCACTAGGGACAGTAAATGGGACTTGTGCTCCAAAGTCAGTAATGGTATGTCAACACTGCAGTGTAAGCCCAGGCTCAGGCTCAAGCCCAGCCCCCCTCCCCCTTTCCATCTACACACAGAGCTATCTGATTCAGGCCAGCAAACCCTCGGGACCCAGACCCTAGGACCTGGCAAGTGGGAGTGGGTCTAAGCCCAAGTTCCACTGGGACTTGGGTCCACAGTGCACTCCCATTTTGCAGTGTGGACACAGTTTGGGCCCAGGTCCCTCTGACTCAAGTGCTGATGCTCCACCAACACTATCCTCAGTCCAATGGGCCAATGTTCCTATCATTTCTATCCCAACACTAGCCAATCAATTCACAGGAAATGGAAACAACCTCTTGGTTCTCGTACAGCTATTTGATGTTTAACCTTCCATTCTATTCTGACTGCTGAGCTGCAAACAGAGTGAACCATCTCCTGCGTTAGCTATGGCCACCAACGGGAAGAAGTCCTTTGCCAAACATGTTGCTACCTGGTCATGGCACCATAGTCAGATTCTGGTAAATCTCTGGTGGGAGGTGAGCAAGATGTTTGACTTCAGTAAAAGTACCAGAAATGAACATGTGTACTAAGAAATAACAGACACGCTGACAGTGTTGGGGATTCACAGGCTGGTGAGCAGTGCAAGGAGCAGATGAAGTGGCTCAAGAGCAACCACTGGAAAGCCAGGGATGAGAACTGCATTTCTGGGAAACCCCACCCCCACCCATCATCTTGCCTCTTTTACAAGAACTTTGATTGGGTGATGGGTACTGTGCCAAGCACTGAGCCCCCAACTGTTCACAATAGCCTGGTCAGCCGGGATGGTCACCTTCTGACAGCCAAATCTAGTGTAGTACTAGAGGGGAACCAACACGCACCAGATCAGGCTAGCAAAGTCCTCAAGGAGGATTTGCTGCTGGAGCAGCTGCAGCACATTGTGGGTCCATAGTCAGAGGAATTGTGTGATGACCCCCCAGAGGAGCAGCCAGCCATAGAGCTTGCAGAAGAGGCAGAAGTAGCCCCAGTGCCTGGTAAGTGCTTGGCTCCATGTTTTTTGTTGTTGTTAATATATGAATGGGAAGGATTTCTGGTTTATGATCCAATACAATTTTTTTATAAGGCATGGGTAGCAGGATGTATCTGCTAATGGCAGAATGCATGCCAGCACCTTGGCATCACCCCACCACACCATTACCAAAATAGATAACAGGAAGCACAAACAATGGTTAAGCAAGCATTTAATATTAAACTTTTACTAGATACTTGCACATTCATCCAAAGATGTGACGGGGTGTTGAAAGTAAGAACTATATATTGCCTTCCCTTTTAGTTCACCACATTGCACAAATTGGCTATGTCACAGCATAAAGAGCTGCTTGTAAACAGTAAACTGTAGAGGGAAGGGGAAATGTAGTGCATGGGTGACTAAATCAATGTCTGAAATGAGACAGGGGGATTGTATGCAGTCCAGACATATGCCGGAGAAGGGGGTCTAAATGTGCAGTTCTTTGAGAGTCTATTTATTGTGTGTGTGTGTGTTTTCATATAGTCCATAAGTAGATGTAGTCAGAGCAGGCTGTACTGTAAGCCATAGGGAGTCAGTAATCTATGTGGATGCTAATGCAGCATCCTGCTGATTTCCCTCATGAATTTTGACCCAGTCACTGGTGCTGATACCTGCAAACATTTGCTGAAGTAGGAACACCAGACAGGTAGTCACATTTCACGGACGGGACACCAGCCTACTCCACTTGTTGCTCCAACGCCATAAGCGTGAATACCTCTGTGATATGCATGGCTTTAGCTTGGAATAGAATGTCCCTTTGCCATGGCAACCTTCCATTCCAATGGTCTCCAACTTTTAAACATTTGTAAATTTCATCTTATCATTGTGGGTGCACTTTTTCACTCTTCTCGACCCAGTTGTGTCTTCTAGGAACTGAAGTGTTCCTAAGACTACTGAAGTGGAGTTTTACAAAGTATCATTTTTGGTCTTGAGATTCCACAGGCTCTTTTCTATGAGGATATACCAAACCTTTGTTGAAGCAGAGACAATAATGTACTGTTTGTCTGTTTTCAGGCCCTTTCACCTCTGCAGCCCAGTTACAGTGCAGCAGAAGTTTGATTTCAAACTGTCAGGGAGTGGTCAAAGAGGAAGTGTTTCCCTGATGAACTTACGGTGGACATCCTGGACAGGGCCAACAAGCAGGTACAATACCAAAGTGAAAAGGATTCACAGCAAGTGGAAATAACCTAATCCTAAATTTTCCTATAAACCTTGTTCATTCCCATTGCTTTTCATAACATCCAATCACCTTTCTTTCAATTTCATTTCTAGTTTGTGTGTATCGATTGGAGCAGGGACCTTGTCTTCATCTGTACCTTTAAAACACCTAGCACACGGTTGGTGCTATACAAATAATAACCAGTAACTGTGAGCTTAGCCTGCAGGCTGTGTACAGTTGAATGTTTTTGAGGGTGCAAAGGGTTCATATGCAGTTTTACCAATCTGCCCATTGCACCCAATTTGGAAAAGTCCACAAAGACTTAAGCAAATCATGTTAAATACCAGTACCTAAGTCATGCTGTTATAGGTAAAAGCAGTAAATTGTAGCAGAGGGCATGAATTCCCAATCAATATTCTACACAAACCTCTGGGGTAGCAGAATAACTTAGTGTTAGGACTGTTGAATGAAAGCACTGTATGTGCAGTCATTAAACTGTGAAATGGTCAAACATGTGCATGAAAATAAATATAGAACTGGCTGTAAATACTATTTCTTCACCTGCTTCTAAACCACGCATCGTATAGAATTTTATGAGAATGTTTGTTAAAGCGAGAGATTTATTTACAAGGAAATATTGGTATATTTCAGTTGTAACCATATGTTTGGTTTTATACTATTCAGTTACATAATGTATCTAGTTTTAAACGTAATGCACTCTAAAAACACCAAGAAATAAAATCCCAGAATGAATGTCTTTGGCTACAAAATGGACAGTTTCTAATCTTTTAAAGACAGAACTGGAAATTGAAGTAAATTTTACTCTGGAAGCTTTTTAATTTTCTTTATTTGCTGTATTGGGGAGTGGTCTGGAAGACAGGAGGTTCAAATTGCAAAGTCAATAAGGTCCTAGGATATTTGTCACTGTCTATCTTCTCACCGTTATAATGCAATTGATTTCATTTGCCACGGCATTGTGGCATTATGGAGTCTATAAATCCATTCAGATGATGGGAACACATCCTAGGCTGACCTGGGGAAGTACATATGAAAAGGAAAATACTGTGGACACTGTCAGGTTATAGCAAACATGACAAAGAAAATTCAATGTACCTGATTAGAGTAAATGCTTAGGTACTCATTCTAGGTTCAAAACCAGGGACACTTAAGTGATTAGTGAAAAAACTGTAGGGTGACTGGCTAATCAATTAAAATTGTGTTATATCCTAATTTTTCCGGATATTTTCAGCTCAGGGCCCTTCCACCTACCACATCCACATAGGGGAGCAGGTGGCTTACTCAACAGGAAAGGCAACAACAAATTTGAGGATTATATTGAATGAAAGCTGTCAGGGCTGCAGAGGGACAAATGGACCTAAAAAAAATGCTCATGTGGGCTGCAGGCTTCAGAGAGTTGGAATTTGTGGTGGTGTCAAGACATTTCAGTTACATCAAATCAAGGCACTTGGCAATTTATAAGGAGTAAAAGTGTACTAAAGAATTTTTTGATTTATTCTTCAGTACCTCCTGCATGAAATGAAAAAAGGCAGAGATGTTAAAAGCACTTTCTTTTTAAATTCTCTTAGCATCAGTTTCTTAAATATGCTGGGCCAAATTTGGCTCTTGCTCATGCCTGTAAATCCAGAGTTAACTCACTGAAGTCAGTGGTATTACTCTGATTTCTCTCAGTGTAAATAAGAGCACAATTTGGCCATCAGACTTCTTAGATCTTTCACAGTGTTTCTGTTCAAATTTCTTTCCAGCCTCTTCTCGGGCAGAACATGTCAAATTTTAAAATGTGTTGTTTCCTCCCAACCCCGGCCAAAAAAAAAACCCCTCTTGTTTTGCTCCTATCAGTTTCCAGGCAAGGAGACAATGATACTACATGCAGCCAGTGAAATGTATTTCTGCAGCACTTGCAAACTTGGTGCACAGTTTGCTGGGGAGGGGGGGAGAACCAAGATGAGCATTATAACTTCAATTTGTTTCCTTGGGGAGCTAAATAGGACTAATTGCAAGAATCATGTGCCCCCAGTATATATCATTATCCCTTAAGAAGGAACATTCTATAGACAGTTCACTGACAAACTGTGGGTAATCATTGGCATAGTGGTTTTGACTGGAAAACACTTATTTTACATAAATTAAATATGGATATAAAATAATATGAAATCTATTCAAAACTATGGCACATATAAAAAATCATCCATTTATGGGCTAGCTCCATTGGGGCGTCATAGGCTATGTTGGCAAAGTTTCTGCTCCAGTGTCACATAGGAGTAGGAATCCGTGAATATGGACATGGCCAGACCTAGTGAAATATTATGTATAATGTGCTAAGTACTGCTCTACCCTTCACTATTTGGGACAGTCAAGCATGTAACCCTATAATTAGATTAATTTCTACATAATACTTGCAGGTTATCTTTAACTTGTCAGATGTTTCCAATCCATGGTATGAATCCCAGAGCAGAATTTGCAGCCTAATGGCTTCATAAAATCCTGAGGCCAAATTCCATTAGACTCAGTGGAGTTACACCAGGGTTAATTTGGCAGATAGTAGAGAATTTGCCTATCAGAAATGTTTGGTATTCAAAAATTCAAAAAACAACTTCAGGTAATAAAATGACCCCCTACAAAAGTCACCTTTGTACAGCAGAATGACTTCTGCAAAGAATGTTTCCAAAATGTTTCAACATTCTAATGAAAAGGTGCAAGAAAATGTCTATCTCATTAAGATTAAGGATGGGATTTTCAAAAGTGCCTAAGTGAGATGGACACCTAAATCCCACTGAAAGTCAAAGGACATTGGGTGCCTAACTCACCTACTGCTTTTAAAAATCTCACCTGAGTGTTTACATTCTCTGCAAAGCTGCGGATGGCATATCACTACTGGTGGTGTATATGAGTGTGCCTGTGCAAATACTTCTAAATTGATCTTGCTGACCATTAAATAATTAAAGTTCAGAATGAAACTGTCTCTAGCTCTAGTAACTGAATTGTACATTGCAGCCCATAATATTATTATTGTGTATTACTTTGGTATGCAATATGTGCTAAGGGCTGTGCAGACAAATAGGAGGACACGGTCTCTGCCTCAAAGAATTTAGTCTGAAACTAAAAACAGTACTTAACTGGCTGGGAGTTCATTAGATCTGGCAATATTTTCTCCATCCTATTTTATAAGGTAGCTGATAACAATCTCCTATGTGGAGCAAAGCAAATAGTGGATTTTACAGTTTGGGGGCCAAAGGAGAAATCAGTTCAATTTGAACTGAAACTATTTTTTGTTGGTGGTTTTTCTCACCAAAATAAAAAACAACTAAAATAATTTCAAGTCAAACAAAATGTTTTGTTCAATCCGAAACACTTTTTTCTTGTTTTGTTTTGTTTGTTTCATTTTAGGTTGTTTTTCAGGTGTTTTCACCCTTTTTTAATTAGCTAAATTTCAAAATGAAACACTGTTTCAAAATGAAAAGTTAAAATGTTTGCTTTCAGAAATGTCTAAATGAAAGGTTTTCATGTTTGCAGAAAAAAAAAAATCAGGTTGGTGGGTTTGGTGGGTTTGTTTTTTTGCCGAAACTATTAGCTAAATTCAGTTTGAATCCGCAAATAATTTTGGTGCCCCCAAATATGCATTTACTATTTGCCAAAAAAAAAAAAAATACCTGCTCTAATCCTATAGCCATTTATGAGACACCAGCCAGTCATGTGTAATTGTCAGTAACAGGATCCTTTAGTTCTTATTTGCTCTGGCACCCTCTGCATGCAGAAAGCAGTTCTGAGTATTTTAAGTATAGTAGGGATACAACTCTGTTCACATTGGAAAAGAAGTATTATCATGTAGTATAGTATCATGTAACAGTGGCAGACTGCTGGTACAGGTTATAAATAGCTTGTCAAAATAATGCTAGACCTGTACTGTTAATGTGACAGTGAAATATTTAGGTAAGGAGATTCAGAATGATTTAGATGTAGCTTGTGAATTGCTCTAATTTATATTGACTTTGACACAATATTGTGCTTGTATAAAATGATCTTTAGAAATATGATCTTCTCCTTACTCGTGTTAGTATCTTGTCAATAGGTCTGATGCATGTACCATTTTGTAAAATATTGACAGTGCTCTTATTTAATGTAATCCAGTGCTCTTTATGACAGATACGTTTTAGCTTCATGGAAGAGAAGGTAAAATAATAGCACTTTCTTCCAGGTTCTTTGCTGTTAGCACCGGAAAGACTTAATATTAAAGAGAGAAGATAAATACAGAAACTCAGGCCAGAAATTGTTGGAAACCAAAACTGGTGGGGAATAAAAACTTATGTTGCGAATGCCCCTCTAACCTGCTGCTATTTGGGGCATTCAGCATGGAACCCTACAATAAGAAAACATACACACCTACTCGCTGGTTCCTTTAAAACAAGTTGTCTTTATATATAGCTGTATAACAGTTCATGGCAGAATAGCAGCCAGTAGTCAGAAAAAAAACGTCAAGCTTTCCCCATTTTTCTCTTATTTAAAATTCCTAAGTTCACTAAAGGTTTTAGGTCCCTAAAGCCTGTAGGGCCTTTAGGACCTTACAGCATGCATCTGTTCTCAAAAGACTGATTGTTTACACCCAAGACCTTTTGATGCTGCAAGGGCGTCTCTGTCAGGTTGCCATGACCTTGGGAGAACTCAGCCATTGCAAATAGCAACATTCTTTTTTCTCATTGGAGCCAAGTACTGAAATGAATCTCTGCTTTAAATAAAAGTAACAGGAGCCCAATTCCATCCTCAGACAAGTATAACTCCCATCAACTTCAGTGGCAGTTGTACCACTGTCTTAATGCAAAACTGGGCATCGATTTCGATGGTATTACAGTAAACTCCTCACTTAAGGTTGTAGTTATGTTCCTGAAAAATGCAACTTTAAGTGAAACAATGTTAAACGAATCCAATTTTCCCATAAGATTTAATGTAAATGTGGGGGGGTTAGGTTCCA